AAAAAAAAATACACAAAACAATCACAAAAACATAAAATCACTAATATTATACATTTATCAATAGTTAACAAGTAATAATATTATCTTAAACATAGAGACGATTTACAGTTTAATAATTCTTTTTCCATTTCAATGTAATTTAAAAATAAACACTAAATAATAATAAATACTAACCCGAATGATCCCATCTTCCACCATGTTTAATTAGAATTGATACGTAATTGTCCATCTCAATAAAATCAATTACCTTCAATTACTCGATTCTGGTAATTTTTTAGGCTGAAGGATTATGAGAGAGAAAAGTTGAAGAAAAAAAGGATATGATCTGATTTTTTATTTTATTTTAACTGATTTTGAGTGAATTAAGGATAAAAAATATTGTTAATTTGTTTGGATCCCTTATTTCATGCTAATCATTAAGGATAAAAAATATTGTTAATTTGTTTGGATCCCTTATTTCATGCTAATCATTAAGGATAAAAAATATTGTTAATTTGTTTGGATCCCTTATTTCATGCTAATCATTAAGGATAAAAAATATTGTTAATTTGTTTGGATCCCTTATTTCATGCTAATCATTAAGGATAAAAAATATTGTTAATTTGTTTGGATCCCTTATTTCATGCTAATCATTAATTATCCACAATAAGTTCAAATTAAATTACAGGCCACAATTTCAGTTTTTTTCTTTATTATTTTTAATTCCATTTTTTTTTAAACTTTCGTTTATCTTTTTATTTATTTTTAAAGATTTTTCCAATTAATAAAAACATTTTTTTTTTTTGTGAATTTGTTATAACCTGAAATTTTTAATGCTATAACTTGAAAGTTTAATTCTACTGCTATAGCTTGAAAATAGTACTATAATATATGTCATATATGAAATTTACACCATTTAAGACCCCACTTGCATTTAACATTTGTGACCCATACACTATTGAAACAGATTTTGAAAAAGAGAAGCCGCCTTCTTCAACGAAGCTTGTTGAAATATATTTATGGAAAAATCGTTTTGGCCAGAAAATTTGGTTAGAATGGCATTTTATCTATGTTATTTTATCTTTTAAAACATTTTTATCCTTTTAACTAAAAATGGAAAAAAGATCAATTTATTTTAAAATAAAAAGATATTATAATTTTTTAAATTTCTGGCCAAATTTTCTGACCATTTAGCATTACCCTATATTTATTACTCTCCCGTTTAAATTGGTTCGCCTGATTTTAATATTGCACCAAGTTTTAAAAAGTAGATTAAAGATACATAACATGTACCAAAATATATTCAAAATGAGTACTAAAAATAGGGCAGAGTACGGTCTAACCTCACTAAATTAATATAGGTGGGACATGCAATATTATTATTTTATAGAGATATTATTTAATCAATAAATTAATATTTATTAATTTAAAGAGTGTTTCGACGCCGCAAAATTCCTTTGGAGATGAAATCTCAGAGAATTTAAATGAATCCACTTGTGAAAACGTCATTCATGATGAGGTCATGATTAATGATCACGGTTACCGCAATAAAATGGACGTTAATAACTTGTTGGATGGGTCAAAATAATACATGTTCATAGGTCCAGAGCTTAAAAGAAATTGTGGATGACATTGAAAAAAATAATGTTGATGATAAAGTAGAAGATGATGCAATACTTTTGGAACTAGTTACGGGTCAGGAACATTTAGAACCTTTCACAATTTTTATGGTGCAGTTCAAAAAATCAACATCAAAATTTTTGGATGCAATAAGAAAAGTTAGAGATGAGCAGCTTCAACAAGATTTAAATTTTAACAAAAAATAGAACACAATAGAGTTATGTTTCACTAAATTGTATTAGATATATTTGTACTTTTAACAAATTATTAATTTATAATATTAATGGGGCTATATATTTATATAGGGATTTTCAGCTAATATATTATCTTATTATCTTATTGAAATGAGTGATTTTTTATATTTGCCCAAGTTGGGACTGGAAATTTTTTTTATCTTAGAGAGGTTATTAATTACTCGAGTATTAGTTTAGCGAGGTTTTACTGCACTACTATTATTACTGTACGACATGATAAATTGTTGTAGTTTGATACTTTTCTTTGTAAACTGCTTGCATTCCTTGATGGTAAAAGAGCAAAACACATCCAAATACTGCAACTGCGTGATGCATTACAAAATAAATACTGTATATCCTACGATACGACTGACTGTTCTTTATGAGGAACATAAATCAGTAGTGTCGTAATCAAGTATAAAATTGACTCTTACACACCATAATTAAGCAGAAAAAACAGCCTCAACAAGAACATGTTTCTTCCTAGGATATCCCAAACCAATCATATGATTAAGATAAACAGTCCCTTCCTTCACAGTTGCTGCTGTACTTAAACGATGAATAGCGCCTTTGGCCTTCCCCACAATAGTGCCACTCTCCCAATCATCAGAGCTCTCAACTAGTCTTGTCGGATTTCCAGCCACAACAAGCTTGGTTGGCGACAGTAACTCCATGCCATCGCCAAATTTCAACGATCCATTGTCAATCTTTACTAGTTTAACTTCATCACCCTTGGCGATTTCAATCTTGAACAAATTGCCAGAGAATGTATGAACCACCAGTAAGTATCCGTTTGGATGATACACTATTCCGTTTAGCCCAACCAGTTTATTGTACCACTCTTTAGGAGTAAATATTGGGTTCTTGATTGTATATTTAAGTTCACCATTCGCGCCTACCTTCCATATCTTGTCTGCTTTGGCATCTGTTATGTATGCATTCCCCTCTGTATCAACTACCACATCATCCGCAAATGCTTTTTCATCCTCTGCAGATTTGAGTATAGTTAAAATCAAGCAATTAGACAGAGAACTCAAAGATGGATCTAGGATGATCGATTATGTGAGTTCAAACTGCTTTCGTCTCAAACAATAATAAAATCACACTCACTCTAAATCCTAAATTCGCCTCTGCCGAGAAATCATTGCTTGATGAGCATATCTCAAAAATGTATAGTAAATGAAGTGTTCCAACACTATCACACCTGGACATGTGAAACAATAATTTGACTACAATAGCACAAGATGCCAGCTTTCAGTGACTTGTTTATTGTTAACCATTTAATGGCCCTAACTCAATTCCAAGTGATATCTAGTCATTTAAGTCTTAATATAATAATATCTGCATATGTCTGAGGCTCAATAGTTGGTCAAAATGAAATTTGCAAAGCTATACAGGAAAAGATAACAGAAAATTATTACAGGTCACATTGAGCTGTCTCAATAGGCATTTTCTCTGTTAGATAAGCTCCTTATTTTGTCCCTTTGGGACTATGTTGCTCAGATTCTTTGGAAGTGTGTGTTGGATCCTTCAGAAGTAGTGTATTTTTGAAGGATTCAACACACGGGTGACGGTATTTTTGGAGAGCCTAAGCAACATAGCTTTAGAACAATTCTCTAACAAACTGATCTTTCAAACATTGAGGGGCCATTAGCCGTACAACTAGAAAGAAGATCCACAAAGCAACTGAAGAAAGAAATCTTTCAAGAGATCCTATGCCAGGAAGAATGGTACTAGTTGTTCCTTTATGCAAAGTAAGGCACATTTTTTAACTTTTTATGCTTTCACTTATTTTATCTTATCTTCTACCGTAACACCACATGCTAGTCCAGCATATATAAGATTAAAAGGCAATCAGGGGAAATCATATTACTTCCAATCATTTTGTCTTTCTTAAACATCTCATTTAAACGTCGTGACAACTCCATTTAGCATAGATATTGAAATAATATTTGGTGATTATTTCAAATAATTGTTCATATTATGCATTTTTCCCACGAATAGAACTTCAAAATACTGAACAAGTTTTCAAACAACCATTTATTTGGCTATGAATTTGATTAACTAATTCACTTCAATTTCAAATAAACAAATTGAAGTTTGAAAAACAAGTGTGAGGAGTATTTCAAACTTCATATTCTCTTATCAAATGTTCACTCATAAAAGTTCAATTACTTTCCCGGTGAAATTCATGTTCAAGCATCACTGAACTTATAAATACCATTTTCAACTTGAACTTCAAACATTTTTTAAAAATTTCAATCAAACCATGGACAAGTGATACTAATCTATTATTTCAACTTCAAACTTACAATAATTGAATACAAGTTTATTTAGTACTTCAAGTCATGAAATCCATGTCCGAGCCAAGTCAGAGCCACCCTTGCTCTAGGGGTGTCAAGCGACATTACTTTGCCGGAAAATTACATTGTAAATAGAGGTTAAATTTTGATTTAATAAATATATATACAAGTTAAATTTTTGTTTAGTGGTTAAAGGATTATGATAACTCCTTGAGGTTGCGTGTTCTAGCCCTAGCCTCATAATTATTTTTTTACTACAATCCTTAGCTCCGCCGCTGGTCATTAAAAGTGATGAACTAAAGAAGAAGAACAAATTTCAAATTAAAAGTGATGAACTAAAGAAGAAGAAGAAAAGTAACAAAAGTTTCTTATTTTTCGAAAATATCAAATGTGATGAAATAAATGCAATCTGGCTTTGACTAAATTGCAAACGTATATGGGAAAACAAAAGTACGTAATCAGATATAAGTTAGGATAAGTTTAGTTATCATGGGATAGGTTATATAGGAATAAATTATATTGGAGATTAATTATGTTAGAATTATTTTATTATTGACTGTTTGATTTGTTGTATTCAATATAATATACATTGCATAGATTTTAAGAATAAGTTGTTTGTTTACAGAAATACCCTTCACTTTGTTTAATTTTTTAAATTTTATTTGTAAGCTTTAATTATTCATTCTTAAAAATAAAATTTTCATTTTATTTAACTTAGATTTTTTTATGTGTGCATTTTCATGATTGTACCATATGTGTTTAAGAATAAAACATTCATCTTATTTAGCTTTAAAATTAAATTTACATCTTAAGTAAAAATGATTTATTATTTATATCACATTATTTAAGCATATATCACTCTTAAATTGTAAAATATTAAAGTTATCTTCATTTTAGTTGATAAAATACAAACTCTCAAGTGATTAAAAAAAGTATAATTAAAAATATGTAATTCAGTAGTAGAGAAATCAAAATATAAATAAACATAAAAATTAGTTAATTATATTTTTTAATAAAAATTATATTTATATATCGTAGTCTTTTAATAAAAAAATTTTGAAGAATTATCATAAAAATAAATCGTAGTGAAGGTTGTAAATATTATACATGGTATTAAAAATAATGTGAATATTCATAGTTATAAAAAGTAATGTATTAAAAAAGTTTAAAGGGATTATTTTATCTTTTTATCCTGTGATAAATTATCTCGATATTACTATTTCACTCAGAGATAGGAATAATTAAGACCTTAAAGAGTCGTTTGGTTTGAATACAATTTATGATGGAATAAGTTATGTTAAGATTATTTCTTATTGAGTGTTTGATTTGTTGTATTTAAAATAGGTAAAAAGGACAAAAATACCTCCAAACTATCGTAAATGGTATGCAGATACCCTCTGTCATACTCTTGGGACATTGGTGCTCCTGCCGTCCAAAAACTAGAGCATATATGCCCTTCACTCTAACGGAAAACTAAATAGGGACACGCGGCGCAATCTTATCCGTCAATCCGATATTTAATAAATGTCGGATCTGTGGATAAGATTATGACACGTGTATGTCACCGTTAATATAAAGGGTATATATGCTCTAGTTTTTAGACGGCATGAGCATCAATGTCCCAAAAGTATAACGGAAGGTATCTACATACCATTTACGATAGTTCAAAGTATATTTGTCTTTTTTCCCTTCAAAATAATATGCATTGCATAAATTTTAAGAACAAGTTATTTGTTTACAAAAATACGGTTCACAAAGGCGAAAAGTGACATAAAAAAAAGTTTAAAGGGATATCTTTATCATTTACTTATTTTATCCCAAAATAAGTTATTCCATGATTACTATACCACCCAAGGAGAATAATAACTTATCTTGATACTAATTATTAATTTCATAATAAGTTATTCCAAACTTACCAATCAAACAACAAAGTAAATAACACTATAATTTAATCTCAAAATTATTTAATGTTATACTTCACCCAAAACGAGCCTTAAGTGGTTTCCTACCCACCCAAAAAGAAGTGGAGTATTAATTAAAGCTAAGGAAGATCCGGTAGTGAACTTTGCTGCTTTCATTGGCCGGCAAAAAAGGACCACACAACTGAAGCACATCAAAGTATTTTGTAATTTTGATTTTATATATATATAATTTATTGATAAAATTTGAACCTATCTCTGACTCTACCCCACTTATAAGTTTATTTTATAAAGAAAAAAATATGTTAAATAGCAATATGTCAATCTACAAGTTGGAAATTTCAATTTACGCGATACATTATTTTTAGTTTGTTTCTAAAAATTAATATATTTCTATAATTAAACTTAACTTTTAAATTCATTTTCTACTCCTAACCAAATATTTTATAATTATATAAATATATAGATTTTGTTTTTTTGACCACAAACTTCAAAATTCTTATTCTTGTATTTTTATTCTTAAATTTTGTGTTGAATAAACAGTATTAGTAGTTAGGACATGAGAGTACTAATTATTTTTAGCTATTACTCCCTCTCTTTCATATCAGTTGATCACTTTTCTTTTTACATGCATATTAAGAAATCATAAATAAAAAGATAATTTTACCAATTCATCCCTTAATAACATTTTGAAAATTTTATAAACAAATGTAAATAAATACTTCAACAAAAATTATAGCAAAGTTTTAATAAATATTTCTAAAAAAGTGGATGATCCCTTAATAACATTTTGAAAATTTTATAAACAAATGTAAATAAATACTTTAACAAAAATTATAGCAAAGTTTTAATAAATATTTCTGAAAAAGTGGATGACTAATATAAAATAATTATTTTAATAAGATGATCAACAGACGAGTCGCTCTCATGAGTTAGCCATGCTTGTTTCTTTTTCCTTTTTCTATTTGGTGACCTACATCATAGGAGCAAAACAACATCACGAATCTCGAGGCAAAATGGTCGCCATCAAAGCCGGTCACAAGTGTATAGAAAAAAGTCAAGACTAAAACTAACTTCCAATTCATAACACTAATATTCAATTTATTATATTGTGTACCAATAATTATATTATTTCTCTCCAATTTTAATTGTCATAATTTTCATTTTACAAAGTTAAACGATAATAATTTTGACTAACATTTTAGATGTATTCTTGTCATATATATATACAAAAAATTGGAATTTATAGTACTTTTCGTATAGTTTTTGAATATATAATTTTTTTGTTTAAAACATTAAATTAATATAATCTAATTTAACTTTAAAATTTACTCAAATTAATTTTCGAAAAAACGCAAAATTAAAAGTGGAGAGAAAGTAGTAATCAATGAAAATGTGTAGGCTTATACTCCATATGTCTCTAATTACTTGTCCATTTTTCCTTTTATAATTGTCCCTAATTACTTGCCCATTTTGACAAATGAAGAAAGGACAATTTTTTTTTTATCTATTATACCCTCAATTAAATAATTAATTACTTTGAAAATGTAAAACTTTTCATCCACTTCATAATTAATAAGGGTAAAATGATAAACTCCTGATGTCATTAATTATTTTCTTAATTAGTGTGTCAATTCAAAAATGGAGAAGTAATTAGAGATAGAGTGAGTAACTTTCTTTGTAATAAGTCAATTAATTCATTCATATGTTATTTAGCGTATGATGGGTAATTAATTTGGAAAGGCCATCAGACTACCCTTTCTGAATTGGTGAATATTTTAATCGATAATTATTTACTCGCTCCGTCCCATTTTATGTGGCAACATTTCCTTTTTGGTCAGTCCCAAAAAGAATGTCACATTTCCTTATTTGGTAAGTATTTAAAGGTACAATTCCTCTTTTATCCTTGTTGGTCCCACTTATTCTTGAAAAGAGTACTCCAATACATTTATTAGGAGAGAGAAAAATAAGTCTATTTTTTAAGGGCAATTTGGTAAACATTTCAAAGTCTTTATCTATTTCTTAAACTCCGTGCCCGGTCAAATGTTGCCACATAAAATGGGACGGAGGGAGTAATAAATAGTAATTAATGTAAAGAAAAAAAGAGACTACCTGGACCGCTAAGTTTGGTGAGAAAAACCCGGTTCCACGACGTCAAATCATAGGCAGCCAAAGCGCTATACCGATTCCCCAACACATCAGCGACGGCGACTAAAACCCGGTTCCTTTCCCGGTCTATAGTAAAACCGAGCGACGCATTACCGGTCAAATCAGCGTCTTTCACTACCGGAATTTCCTGTAGCACGTCGCCGGGAGAATAATCGGCCTCAACCGGAATCACACCCAAACCGCCTTCAAAAAAACTGACAATGAACCGGCGGTTAGCATCGTCCCATTTAGAACACTCACGTAACCAGCCGGTACTGTGATAATGGTAAACGTGAGTCGTCGGAGAAGAAGTTTCTAGATGGATAATAAAGGCGATTGGAATTGCAGATACAAAAAATAGGAGTAGAAGGAACTTGGTTGAACAGAAGAAAGAAGCCATATTTTAGCGTGTGTGTTATTTTTATGGAGAGAAAAATGTGGTATTTTGATGTTTTTTTGAGGGTTTATAAGGTGAGAGTGAAAGTATATAGTTAGGTGAAAATTGGAAAGAAGATGGGGGCGTCACCAAATTTGGTGGCGTTTGTTTCAAACGTGTTAATTAAAACTTTCCTATTTTTTAAGGAAAAATATTAATTGAAAAAGGTTTTGAAATGTTTTTCCAATAATCTATAAAAATAAAACTATACTATTTTCCCTCATTCCTTTTTAGTTGTCATAATTTTTTTTTAAATGTCAAATGACATGAACTTTGACTAACATTTTAAGACATATTTTTAATCATACTAATATGAAAAAAAATTACAACTTAGAGTACTTCTCATATAATCTTTAAATATCTAATTTTTTATTTTAAAATATCAAATTAATATAATCTAATTTAATTTTAAAAATTAATTAAATTAACCTTCAAAAAACACCACATAAATAAAAAGGAATGGAGGGAGTAGTATTCTTTTTGCCGCCCTTCGTTAAAATGTTCATAAAATTATCCTTGGCATTACCAAATTTGCCAGAATCTCTACTCTCATTTGCTACTCTCCGTATTTTTTTTAATTTGTTCGCTTTGAACTTTGTATATTCGTAAAAAATAATATAAAAACAAGAAGTTCTTTAAAGACATAAATATGACTTGGCATAATAAATAAATCTAACCCTTAACTTGACGTCAGTTGATAACTATGATATTTTTCTTTGAAAGTATACAAGTAGACACTTAAACTTATATAAAATTGAACAAATTGATACATTTGTCCTACATGATAATTTTGTGTCCTACATGGCGTCCTATGTGTATTATTTCATGTAGGACACGTGTGTCTACTTGTTCAATTTTTTACAATTTTTAGTATCTACTACTGTACACTCAAAGTTAGAAGGCATAGTTATCCGCTGAAGTCAAATTAAAGGTCATATTTATATATTATGCCTATTTGACTTGGTGTCTTTCACTAAAAGATTTTGTAATTAACAAAATTGTTGTTACTATTTTTTAAATTATTATTTAATTATCTTTATAATATTTAAAAATAAGAAATCTACATACAAGGTAAGAGGAAAATGTATTTTAAAAATTAAGGAACACATCCTTAAATAAATGGTAAGAGGAAAATATATTTTAAACAAGATACCTCACAAAAAAAATATTAAATAAAATAAAATTACATTAGGAAAAATTAGAAATTTTGTCATCGTAATGCGGCCTAAAATTTGGCATATATAGAAATATTCACATTTAAAAATTATGTTAAAAAAATTATAAATCACAATAACTAACAATTTAAAATACTTAAAAAAAATAAAATTATGGTCAACAAAAATTTAATTGACTTTAAAAATTTTATATTTGTCACAATAAATTGGGGAAAAGAATAAAATGAAATGTGCATTAAGTCGATTTTCGTACAAAAAAAAAACTCAATTATCATTAATTTGACTTTAATTTAATTTTTTTATATTTGTCACATAAATTGGCGAAAAGAATTAAATGAAATGTGCATTAAGTCAAATTTCGTACAAAAAATAACTCAATTATGATTAATTACAAAATAGGGATAGTTTCAATATTTTCCTTAATTTTGTTTTTATGTTCGACTTAATTTTTTTTATGTACTTCTATTATATTCCATTCAAATCAAGACGTGAGAAAAATATATTTATTTTGTTTTTTTCCTTCATATATTTAGGAGTCTTAGTTTTGCACGTATTCCATAAATATTAGGAGTCAATGTATAAAGATAATTAAATAATAAATTATAGTAAATGATAATTGTTTATTGTACACTCTTTTAATAATTGTCAAAAAAAATTAATCGACATTTATAAGTAATTTAGTTTACGCGCTTTATACGTGTATGATGTATCTCACGTTAATTAATAAAACTATATTTTAAGGAAAATAAAATCATTTAAATTGACGTTAAAATAAATGTTATATATATCTAAATTATAAGAATTTCATATTTGAAGGATAAAAAGTTTTAAAAAAAAAAACATAACCTCTCTCTTCAATATTTTTAATGCTTTTATTTATTTAATTAATTAATTTATTTATCATAATTTAAGTAAGATTTATATAAATTTAAAATATTTATTTTAAAGTCTTAAATGTTAAGATTTTCCATATATAGTTTAAATAAGGAAATTTTTAATGAACAAATTTGTTTTCAATTTTAAAGTACTAAATATTATGAGTTCTTACTTCTTACCTATTACAAACCAATAAATATTATGAACTATAGCTTTTAAATAATTTCAAAGACCTAAATAATAGGACGATTTAATAGCTAATTTAGCATATGTGCATTACATGCATGTATAGACTTAGAAGTTATTAATAGCAAATTTATCAAAATAACGGATCAAATAAATCTCGAAATCAAGATTCAAGTTATTGTTGATTACGAACACATGAAAATACACAAATGAATATAGCAAAGGAGAAAAGGAACGATAATTTATAATTTTGAGTACGAGGATATGCCAAATTTTAGTCTACTTTATATTGTCATCACAAAAATTCTAAATTTTTTATATATTTGAGACATTAAATACTAAAAATATAAATTATTGAAAGTGTCTTTACTTTCTTTGTCACAAACATATGGTATACGTAAATGAAATTTGGAGGGTCGATTAATTTTTTTTTATCATATTTGTTGTTAATACATTTTAAAATTTTAAATTGTTAACTATATTTATAGATCTTTTACATAATTTTTAGTTATGTAAATTATTGGAACTTCCTTTTGATAATTTAATATTTAAAAGACAGTGTTTTTTAAATGCAATTTTAATTTCAAAACGCACACATATCAATGAAGACATGTCTGTTCTAGCCTCTTTTACTGTACTGTTATTTGTAATTTAATACAGTATTTCAAATGTGGACCTTTATCATTTAAATATCACACAACAGATAACGGTAAAAAATACATATGAAATCCTTTTTTTTTTCTGAATTTTTTACTTAAGCTATCAAGTATTTATGTTTTTTATCAGGATTATTACCAACTACTGTGTTGATTAAATACACATTGACTAATATTTGATGATGTATGGTGTACACTCTAATCCTTAAGTAGTGAGATCATTTGAATTGTTATAACCTCTATCAAATTATTTGAAATTTGACTCTAAAAGAGCCTCCCTCCCCTCTCCCCACTGTTTTTTGATTAATTAAAAATAGTGTCAAATGACAATTCACATGAATAATTAAATGAATTAATTGATTTTCTGTTTTTAAAAAATAATGATAAAAACACATATAAAGTATTATTCTTTTGCGAGTTTTCTATCTGAATTATCAAGTGTTTACATTTCCTATCTGAATCATCAACTATAATATCATATTACAAAATTTTATTGGCATTTTAACTTGTCATATTTCTTTTGGCAATTATGTTCAAACATTTAATCTAATTGGGTTCATGGTGTATTTTAATAAATAATTGATGATAATTTAGATTAAAAAAAATATAAATACCAAATTATGAAGACCAAATTGATTACCCGTAGACTAGTAACTGGGCCACGATTATATCGGATTGGCCCATTCGGTCCAAATAATCCTATATACTCGTAAGTGGTCCCCGTGAACATCGTTTAGGCCTAAAAAAAAAAAGAAAAAAAAGCAAATAAAATAGCAAATAGCTATTGGAAAGGGCACCATTTCTTCTCTCTAATAATACTTCATCGTCTTCGTCCGAGCTCTTTCCTATCAGGTAAAACCCTAGCTTTTACTTTATACTCACTGCAATTTGTAAAGTTTCTTAAGATTCGTTTTATACTAGTTTTCTGATCTGCAATTTTATCCGTCAAAGTTTTATAGGATCAACTTATCTGTTTTGCGTTGGTAGTTTTTCTTATTTTTTTTTCATAGATCTGATAGATTTTTCTGTAATTTGTTTTGTTTGTGTGCACTAACTCAGATCTAGAGAGAACTATGCTATTTCTTTTGTTTGACTTGAAAAGGCTTATTTTTCAATCTGGATTGTTGAATAGTTTTGCTGTATATCTGTTGAATTAATCGAAATAAGGAGCTTTACTAGGATTTAAACTGCATACCTGATGTTTAGCTACCTTAGGGCTTAGGGTGAAAGGACTACTAAAACTTGGCCAAAGATTTAGAAGGAGTTGCTGGGAAGTGGAGAATGTTGCAGTCTTTGAATTTTTTGATTTTTCTGTACTTAACTAGCATCTCTCTTTATATGCGTGTTTTATACTTGGTAGAATTATCCGAGCCACACAAAAATGGATCCTTCAGTTTAAAGAGACCTTCGAGTCTTCTTTTAAGACGAGTGATTCATGTTTTCAACCTCAGGTAAAAAGAATTTCTTTTGGATTAGTGGTTAATAACATTTAACCTTATTTAAAACTAATACCTTTAAAAATAATTATATTTATACAAAGGCCCATAGATATAAAATTCAAAATATTACCCTTAAACAATGTATTGCTTGTTTGAACCAAACCAGACAACCAAGAGGTTGTTAAAGCAGTCCCTAAATTAAAATATACCTTTGAGTCTCTTATTTAGTGACTCAAGTTTAGTTTTTTTTAGAAGCGACTCTTTTGAGTTTGGTGCTAATGGCACATTTTTAAAGCCTTCAAATTTTTTTTTACTTGCACATAGGTCCTACCTTCCCATTTGCCCCTTCCTCCTCAACCTTGCCACCACCTCCTTTCTTTTTGAAACCCTATCACAATAACAACTACAAAAAACTACACTTTACAATTCTACTATAAAACAGTTTTTAGTAGTTGCTGCTACAAGTTTGACAGTTGTTGCAACAAATTCAAAATATGTAGCAATAACTACTGAAATTGTTGTAACAATTATGAAAAAAGTTGCTACAGCTTTAGTTCTTGCAGCAACTTTAGAATTTGTTGTAACAACTTGTTGAATTTGCTGCAAGCTATCTTCCCCTAGTTAGAATTTTTTATACACAAATTTTCTACACAAAATATTCATGTCTAAAGCAAAAACAAATTGTCTAATAATAAAAAGAAAATGAAGAAAAGGAAACTGAAGATGACGAAACATAGAAGAAGATGGAGATGGAGAGGAGAGGAAATCAAATTTTGGTCCCTTCTTTTATCTCCCTTTTCATCGTTTTCTTCCTTCTCTTTTTGTGTTTCATCATCTACGGACACTGTTTTTCTATTTGTGGAGAATATTTTTGAACTAGTGGATGAGATTTTGCAATTAATCCAACAACATCGGTGGTTGGTGTATGGGATTTCAAAGAGGGAGGCGGTGGCGTTGTGTAAATAAGAAAAATTCAGGATTTTAAAAATCTCATTAACACTAGGCACATAAGATTCACTTGTAGCAAAAACGTAAAATTTATTTTACTTTTCCTTGAATAAGAGACTAAAGAGTTACATTTAGAAAAAGTACCCTAGTGGCTATTAGGGGTAGGGATAAAGGTGAAGTAGGCAGCGACTCTCAGTGCAGCATGACATGTGGTCTTGGGTTATTGATGAAATTTTGCCATTCATCAGTTGAAATATTCCACAAATCATTTACAAGATGTAGCCAAATGGAAAGGATTTATTGCTTTATGGGGGAAGAAGTGCAAGCCTCCTTACTCCACAAAGGTAGGGGTAATGTTTGTGTACATCTTATCTTATCCTCCCCAGACCTCACATGTGGAATTACACTGGGTATGTTGTTGTTGGGGCCGAAGTGCAAGGATGGATTCAGCAGAGAATATTTTCTCCATGGGTTGGGAAGAAGATGTTTTGGGTTAGAGAGCAATTTAAAATAGTAGAAGGAGAAGTGATGAAATTCAGGAAGGATGGAGGGAGATAGGAAGAGAAAGAATGATATCACGGTAAAAAGTGGAAGCTATGGTCAATTCTAATTTCATGTCAGTGTAATTAGAGGCCAAACAAATTAATGGACTGCTCAGGGAGTTGCAGTGTAGATGGACCAAGTATGAATCGTATGTGTAGGTACTCAGAACTTAAGATAATCTAATCACCTAATTCTCGAACTAGGATGTACTATTTATAGTATATCTAGTGTGGTTGGCATTAGTACTTACACTACTGTGCGCTGGTGGAACAATAGCATAGTACTAGACCCTCAAATGTTTGGTGGGACTTAGTTTACTTCCATTCCTATGATGAGGTCCGGTTGTCTCATGTTCATTACTGTTACCTCAGAGTTTAATTACTTGTAAAAAGATTACCTCAAAGCTCAATTGCCATCAACTCAATGTTTTAGGTAACTGTTTGAGGAAGTCATTCTTCCAGTTGTTTAATATTTGTTTCAATGTAGTTGCATCATTTATCATGTTGTATGGTTGCGTATAACTTGCTTCTAGCTACTTTTCATACACTTTTTGAGACCATTTAGTTGTTCTGTTGGTTAATGTGGGTGAGGGGAATTAACTTTTATCCCGTGGTGTTTTTGCAGAAGTTTGCTACATTCGGAATCAAATGGCTGGCCATCGGATTGCACATGCCACATTGAAAGGACCTAGTGTCGTCAAGGAAATAGTTATCGCAAGTGTACTTGGTTTGGCTGCTGGAAGCTTGTGGAAGATGCACCACTGGAATGAGCAAAGAAAAGTTAGGTCATTTTATGACTTGCTGGAGAAGGGTGAAATAAGTATAGTTGCGGAAGAGTAGTTTCTCAGGGATCATCTCCTGTGATTTGGCTCTTCAATTAAGCATGGACATACTCTTATATCGAAAAAAAAATAAGTTTGAAAACCAAGTATTTCTCCGTCTATTTGTTGTTGCTCCATGTTTGACTTCGAAGTTTTTGATTTTTATTGACCTGCTTGGGACAGGCTAGATTGAATTTTCTTTCATCAATTTGAAGTCTGCCATTCAACAGGCAAACTCGTGTCCATGTTAAAAGTATATTATTTCTACTTTAATAGGTTCCTTTTAATAAAAGATTCACCAGAAAATTTATCCCCAATCAATACGGGACTGTATTTGCTTACTCTAAATCTAGGTCTCTGTTCATTATTAGTGATTAAATGGATGTAGATGTGTGCCTGCAGCCTGCAGGTCGGTAAAGAGATGGCACTGTTCTGTTGATTTATGCCTAATTATTGCTGGGAAAAACACTTTAACCGTTGGAATCATATTTTGAGTTCCAATCGGGAAGCATTTAGCAACTTTATCACAATCATGTTTGGAATTATCATGAGTGAAATAACATGTTTTTATCTACACGAGCAGATTTTAGTAATTAAACATCTACAAAGTTAGTTTTTCAATCCTAAAATGTATTTCCCCGACTCTTTTTCCTTCCAATTTTGAACTATTTTGTTGAGTAATAAGCAATCTCAATTAGCTTGCAAATGATGTAGTAGGCGTAGAAAATTGAGGCTCGAAGGTAAGATCATTCTTTCAATTAGAATAAGCTCATGCTCAACAAGAAAAAATTCATTACCAATTTTTTGTTTCCACCCCCGCCCCATCTCTTTAATTTTAATGGTTTACAATTTTCTTTTTATTTTTTTAACCCTAAGTTATTACGTACTTCCATATATGCGATGAAAGTCAACTTCAATTCGAGTGTCAACTAAGTTACTTTCCCAGAACCAAATGGCAAAGTAGAGTAAATAAGAAAACATAAAAAGTTAGAACCTAGATATACATTTGTCTAAATCTCAATTTGTAATCGTTATATACAGTACAAAGATGTTTACCATAACCAATATGAACTTTCCCTTTAATTAATGAACAATGGCTTTACACATCTAAATTGTAACCGCACAAAGCAGAACGCAGTATAGTCACCAATGAGGCCATGTCATAAAGAAACACACTGTTTTACGAGGGTTCTAATTGTTGCTATAGATATAGATTTTTGTATAAGTGGTCAGCAAGCGGACCTTACCAGATACTCGTGGCTTCATCTCCAGGTAGCTGTCACCCTTAGAATCTACAGTTCAAGAAACAAAGATGGGAAATTAGAGAAGAGAGTGATAACAGTATAAATACCAGTGAATAAAATGACCACCAACTAAGCATGGACATTACTAGAATATAAAGATGCAGCAGATAGGCATTGCTGCTACTCGTGCCGTAACCTTGTTACTCAAGATTCAAGAAGGTTACTGCAAATAGTACTTTGGTCATTCAACGGCCAACACACTAGCATAAGAACAATTTGTCAAAAGCAAAAAAAGAGGTATCTGCAAAAGTCTACTGGTTGGTTGGTAAGAATGAAAGGAAGAGTAAAAAGGAGCATTAGTAAATGAGAGTGTATTTCCAAATAAAAGAAGACACTCCTCTATGTAAACCTACAAATATTAGATTAATGGCATTAATTCTTTCCTTCCGATCCTTTTAAGCAATCAACCACTCGCATGTTTAAATACAGAAAGTGAGATAACAAAATCTAGCTCCCATACTGACATGGACGAACTGTACCCAACGAATCTGAGGAAAAGATCCCCACCATATCAACTTATTAGCTATAGATCAAAATTCCTCAAGGTGTTCAAGCATTAAGGTCCCGAGGCCCAACTATCATTATAATAAGGAATGGCAAAACTATGTGTGTATGACCAGGGCCGTCTTAACCCCTAGGCCACTAAAACCATCACTTGAGGCCCCATATATTTTGAGGCCCCCATTTTTAAAAACAATTACTTATATATGTTATTTAAAAAATAATTATTATATGCATTATGAGTGTTATGATTTCTACTAAGGAAATTGCATATGAGATGAAAATAAACTGAATTTCATAAGAAACAATTTGATAAAAATGTGGATAGCGAAATCACAAAGTCCCTTGAAGAACCTTTTAGAATTGATTGTTTTATATATGTAGAGTAGATCAAACTATTTTTTCACTTCAAAATAGATTTGAACCAATTGAAACATATGAAAATATTTTTGATTTCTTATTTAGTGGTAAAATATTGAGATCACTAGATGATGAGAATTAAAAAAACAATTGTCTCAACCTTGAACTTTCTTTATCATGGGATAGTTATTATGATATTGATGGTTTAAATTCATTTTTTGAATTAAAAGTGTTAAGGAAAATAATACAAATAGAAGATAATAATCTAATTAAAATTCTCAATCAAATAAAAAGACTTGATTCTTTTCCAAATACTCATATTGCTTATAGAATAATGTTAATAGTCCTGTAACTATTGCCTTCAGCCGAAAGAAGTTTTTTTGACGAAATTAAAAATTGATTTAAATCTTCTTTAAGATCAACAATGTCTAAAGAGAGATTGAATGAATTAGCTATATCATCATTTGAAAAGAAAATTATTAAAACAAATTGATTATAATACAGTACCTAATGACTTCGCATATAAAATAGCTAGAAAAGTAGATATTAAATAAAAGTATATATGATGAAAAAAATATTAGGGCCCCTCTCTTAGGTTTCGCTTTAGGCCCCAATGTTATTGAGTCGGCCCTATGTGTATCTGCCACTATTGAGCGATTAAGTGCAGAAAAGTAATTTCAAGTAGTTGGTTAAATTAATTGGCATGGATAATATAAATAAAATGAGACTACATTTATCCATGCTAAAACACAATACACCTAACTTTGAATAGAAATTCTCCACATGTGCTGTGGGGAATCCATAAGTTGAACTTTATTCAAGTAAACAATCAACAACTTGACTAAACTTCCATGACAGAAGAATCAAGTTCTTGATATGAGAAATTTTAGAACATACTAAGATATTTTCATGAAATATGAATTTACCACAACAAAGACCTTCTGATACAGTGAAATTTGTCGTCACCCATATTGGCAAGCTTTTAAACACCTCCAGCTGCACCAACAGCTTCGCGCTGTAAATCTACTGTCCCTTCTGCATTGTCCTTGCACACTCTAAGATCTGCCTAGACATCTGAAGTATATACACAATGCTTTGGAAGCCACCTATCAGTCTCCCAGAGTACATGCATTATACTCTCACGTGCTCCAATACCGTGACTCTCATATGGAAGAATTGCATGGCAACAAAGGGCACCATGACCTTTCAGTGCATTGAAGAAATGATCTGACTCTATATTTTATGCAAAAAGAAAAACGGTTTTAAGATTAAATAAATCTTGGAAGAACAAGGAGTAAACCAAGAACTGCTGCTACTTTATGCAATCAATGAATGTGCAGATAAACACATGTCAATTAAGATCAAACTGTGACTACAGTATGCAGTGAAAGAAGATTCCTGACTTCAAGATTCTTCATGCTAGTATGCATTGCTAACTTCTCATTCCCTGTATGCACTACAAACTTCATTTATCTCCATCTCGGATTCATTTTCCAGAAAATCTCCCTCTAAACTACCCATAGTCAGCTTGTTGTTTTCCACTTGAACATTTTCATCTTCTGACTCACTCTCAAACATATCATCATCTTCATATTCCTGCAAATCTGTAAGAGTGTCCATTGTTTCCTTCTTCTTTCTGTAACCAACAAAGCTTAGAACTTTTTCCCTCCAAACAATCAAAGGATGTTTCTCGATCAACTCAGAACCTTCATAAGCACTGTTGATATATACATGAAACCTTTTGCCTCTTTCTGAAACATAAAAGATCCCAAAATGTTTAAGCAGCAGTCTCATCAGTTTCTGAGGCATTACGAACTCCTTTCTAAAATGAGTCAAGTAATCTGTCACCAACCTCTTTCCGACTGTAAAACTCAGCAGCTCATGCATCACTGCAACTGCCCTCTTATTGAATTCCAGTGTTCCAGCCTTTAATTCACTGGCATCTGCATAAGGTGACAAGTATTCCCGCTTCTGAAAATCCTCTATCTTCCCCTTATATCTGGACAACACTTGTTTATAATCAGGTGGAAATTTCATGGGGAAAGACAAGGAAAGAGGACCAGGTACGTGATCATCTGGGGCCTGCATAACCCCCAACGCCTTTCTTTCTAACTCTGTCATAGCCCAACTTGATTTCCAATTTGCAAGCTCTAAGTACTCACTTTCATCATAAGGCTTGAATGGCTGAACAACTCTAAAGTGATCAGGAAACCTCCGCACCCAATGGTTCCTAAAATCCATTGGCAACCCCAAATCTCTTCTGAAATGAACAATTTTATCTAAGGCAAGGCGCTTGTCTACAGACATCATCAGCATCCTAGTCACAAGCTCTGCAGCTTTATCACTGTGTTGTTCAATAATAGCCTCCTCTTCCCGGACTAAATCTTCAGCCTCCTTTGTCAGACCACACCACAAGATCCCTCTATCATCCTTGTACAGCTCAAAAAGCTTGGGGGATTTCCGTAGGAAGGCCGAGATTTTATGGGGTTTTGGGAGGTTTAGTTGTCTTCTATAATCATCAAGTTCCCTAATCGATATGATTTGTTGAGGCTCCTTCTTAAGGACTTCAAATATTAATAGGACTTTGGAGAGTATTTTGTGTTTCTCTGTGACTATTTCAAGGTCATGCACCCGCTTCTTCTTGCTTCTGTCTTGGACTCTTTTACTAGTGGTCATTGATCGGTGCCATTGCATGATTGCTGAAGAATCTATGAACAACAACACATTTGATGAGTTTAGTTCAGCAGATAAACATCGACGTCTACCAATAAGGTTGAGCATTGTGTCAAACCACAATAACCAGAAAGGATTCTCCCAGAAGAACAAAGAGAGTATTGCAGTTGTTAGTCCAAATACTAAACAGAGCACTGAATGATCGATGTACTAGCTTCTCCGACCAACGCCACGATGCGGCATGGCAAGTTTTAACACATTGTAGCAGCAAAATAGGCCTCCCAATGAAACCAAATTGGCTTAAGTGAGTTCTCAGGAAAAGTACCTTGAGGGAATATCGAAAAAGAACTCTGTTAAGACTGCTAGTTCACTCTAATCTCACAAATTATACTAGAAAAATCACATATTCATGAGTATATTAATAGAATAGGACAAGGTTGAAAGAAATGAACCTCAACTGCTTCTTACGATTTTTGGGAAGAAGAAACAGAGGACTGTAACTTAATCAGAGCGGCGACTGGACCTCAAGCTCTTGCTGAAATCTTTTGTGTCTGCGAGTGTGAATCTATGAGAAGGAGGTGAATGTGGAGCTGTCTTCTGGAGCTATGATTGACGGTGTGAAATTGGCTGGAGCTCCGGTAGTTATGGGGCAGAGCTGGTCGACGGACAGTGAAGAGGCGAGGAGCTCTCTGTTTTCGGCAAAGGGAGGGACGGTGGCTGAGCTCAGTGGATCTGTGGTTGGTGCAATGGTGGTCAAGTATAACATCACATCTAGGGCATGTTTATTTTTTTTGAGTGTAGTTAATTAATTTTGATGCGTAAGTTGAGTTTACACTTAATTTTTATAAAATTAATAACAAATTAGTACTATATTATAAAAATAATACTATGTATTATTGAATATCTAGCGACAGATAAATACTTAGTAATATTTTTCTAATAATACTTATTTGTCATATATGAACATTTAATTTTTTATTAATTAATTTTTATTTATAAAATCTAATGTAGTTATAATATGCGACCAAACATTATATTTATAATTAGTTTATTGTGTAATTATCAAATTATATACCTACTATGCTAATAATTATACCAAATTCAATTAAGAAATGACTTTCTGAATATACCTTTAGTATAAAGAAATTCCTCAAACTATAACAATTAATGAACTCATTCAATTGATACATGAATAGCTAAGAAAGTTTATTTAGTTAATATTCATAAACAATCTGTTTCATTAAAGGCCGAGGGAAATTTCATCATGTGGGTGCAAATAAATCAGTTAAAAACGAGTAGGCAGGGCGTTAGGCTAGTGCCAGTGGGGTACATCAACGAGGACAGATCACATGGTTAACGCGAGGGGCCTGTTTTATAATAAAGGGGGTACTCTCTTCTCTGATGTGCGCTATATTATTGTGTCGTATTCCTTAAGGAGTGATCTAGGTATAAGCCACATGGTAATACCCGCCAAAAGAAATGGGGCCTTGAGTACTCAAATGCATACGAGGAAAGGACAATTATTCAGTGCACTTAAATTTAGTGGATGTGGTTCCATATTCATGAAAAGCCAGATTTGAATTTGTTAAGAAAAATTAGTAAAGGATAAAATGTATACACATTGAATGCTGATTCACTAAAAAACTTACTAGAAAAAAATTTAATTGATACAAATCTTGATTAAGAAAAAAAATGAAAAGAGTGCAATGTACATTTGACTCCCTTAGTAAATATATTATTTGTATCTCAAAGATAATTCATTTTAATTTTATGGTTTAACTTTTTAAATGTCGATATTATTAATATCTTAGTCACTAGACATGCCATATTATTAATTAATTGACTCCGTTGAGTATCTATCTTACTATTTTGTTGAACATTATGTGTAAAAAAACTTTAGTAAAATGTTAATTTATTTGATCTCCTTGTGTATCTTCCCTTTTGTTGAGTTGTCAATAGCATGTTTATCTAATATTGTTAGAATTTTTTTCTTCTTCTATGAAAAATAAAATAATAACAAAGTATGTTGAGTTATTAATTCAATCATCTCACATTTTTTGATAATTTTATGAATAACTATTATCTCCATATAATTTGAAAATGTAAGTCATTACTTTTTTTATTAAAATGCCACGAAACAATTATACCCAATAAGTAAATAGATAGCATAGTTTGGATGAGACTCTATATGGATCAGTTCAATAATGTGAATTGAACTCATTATAAGAAAATAATATCCAATCATCCCTCAAAACTATCTTGAAAGTACATATGACTAGCACCAATTCAGTGTATTCTTGAAAGTACTTGTTTTTGGAGTTTCCCTTGAAAGAATGATAACTCAACAAGAAATATGTTAAATTTCCATCGGGTATTTTCTATTCGTCTCTTTTCCTCTACTACCTCTTTAATTTACACTTCCACTATTTCCTTTTATTTTACCACTAAAGTTATTACATCTCCCAGAGGTAAATGTCAAAGTAGAACCAAATAAGAACACAACATAAAAAGTTAGATGAAATCATAACCTAGCAATACATTGAGTACTGAATCAACAATTTCTAATCGTTGTACAGAGCACAAAGATGTTTAGCATATCCAATATGAACTTTCCCTTCTAATTAATGAACAATAACTTTACACTTCCAAAATGTAATCGTGCAAAGCACAGCGCTGTATTGTCACCCATAAAGCCATGACATTAAAGAAGCACAACGTTTTATGAAAATACACAACCTGCACTCCTTTATAAGGGTTCTTATTTGTTGAATAGAATTGTTGTATATGTCGTCAGCACACAGACCTAACTGGGGACGCCTGCTTCATCTCCAAGGTAGCTCGTCACCCTCAAAATCTACAGGTCAAGAAACAAATATGGGCAATTTGAGAAAAGAGAGGAACAAGAATATAAATTTGTGTGAATAAGGTAACTAGAAATAGTGTTTTGGTCATTCAACGCACTTGCATTGGGACAATTTGGAAAAAGGAAAAGAGAGGTATTTGAGAGGGTCTAATGGTAAGTAGCTAAGAATGTTAGGGAAAAATAGAAAGGAGCATTAGTAAATGATGTGTATTTTTTTCACATAAAAGAAAACACATATCTCTATGTAAATCTGCAAATTTAAAACCGGCATTAATGCTTTCCTTTCCTATACTTCAAACCAGTCAACACCTTGCATCCTTAATGCAGAAAGCAAGGCATCACTCTCTATACTGAACATGGACCGAGTGAACCAATGAATTTAAGGAGGTTTCCAACCACAAACATATTACCTATTAGAATATAGATCTACTCAAGGTGTTCAAGGATAAAGGTCTATGACTATCACAATGATAAGGAATAACAAAACTGTGTGAATTTGCCATTATGGATCGATAAAGTGCAGAGAAAAGTAGTTCAAGTTTTTGGTGTTAATTAACTTGGATAATATGAATAAAATGAGAAACACAAAGCGCGTAACTTTGGATAGAAATTCTCCACATGAGCTGTGGGGAATCCAGACGTTAAACTTTATTCAAGCAAACAATCAATCAACTTGACTTCCATGACAGAAAAACAACTTCTTGATATGAGAAATTTTAGAACATGGGATTATATATTCATGAAATAGGAATTTACCACAATAAAGACCTTCTGATAGAGTGAAATTGGTCATCATCCAAATTGGCAAGCTCTTGAACACCTCCAGCAGCACCAACAGCTTTGCTTTGTGAATCTACTGTGCCTTCTGCATTGTCCTTGCACGCGCTAACATCTGCCTTGACATCTGAAGAATAGACACAATGCTTTTGGAGCCACCTATCAGTCTCCCAGAGTGTATGCATTATACTCTCCCGTGCTCCATAACCATGACTCTCATATGGTAGAATTACAAGGCGACAAAGTGCACCATGGCCTTTCAGTGCATTGAAGAAACGATCTGACTGTATATTTTATGCAAAAAGAAAAAGGGTTTTAAGGATCAAGACTATTGAAAGCTAGCAAACTCATTAAATAAATCTTGGAAGAACCAGAAAATGTACGGAGTAAACCAAGAACCTCTGCTACTATGTTGCATATGTTAGTTGAGGAAATATTCAAGGAAGATATGGGTATCTTAAAACGTGATACTGAAATAAGAATAAGAGGACCATCATTTTACCTGCATCGTCAAGGTTCCTGGATTGTTGTCCTCCTCCCCATGGATAAGCAAGATAGGCTTTTTAATCTTATTGGCTGACATAAAAGGGCTCATCTCAACATAAGTACTGGTCGCCTCCCAAAGTGTTCTCTCCTCGTTCTGGGAAAAAAAAGTTCTTAGCAATGCGAGTGAATGAACTAAATCCTCCTAGAATGCAGAGAGACACACCAATTCATAAGGACTTTAGACTGGTTGGTCATACACATGACTGGGGAGGACTACCTGGAACCCAAAAGGTGTTAGTGTTCTGTTATAAGCACCAGAACGAGCAATTCCACAACAGAAAAGATGAGGTGCATGCGCAAGGAGGTTTGCTGTCATGAATGCCCCATATGAATGACCACCAACAGCAATTTTGTTTGGATCAGCCACCTAAAAAACAAAGCACCAGAAAACTCAGCCGTAATTTCTAAGTTTCATGCAACATATGTTTAGCAAGAAGAAGAAAAACTTACTCCACGGCGTATAACTTCTTCCACTGCAGCCTCAGCGCTTGCAACAAGTTGTTCTATGTACCTGGTTAAACCAGCATTTATTCAATAAACACCCAAATCTCCAAGTTCAAGATAGAAAAGTAAAAGAATTCACTTCAGCACAAGATGTAGACATAAATTATCCTTAAAATTAGCTCCGGAACATCAATAGTCTACAAGGAGGAGCAGAGGAAGCAAGTCCACTCAACATCCCACGACACCCTCTGTTCCCCACCCCAAAGAAAAGCAAAAAAGAGAGTAAAAGGGTGTAATAATGCTTCATCCCATGTCAGTAATCACACAGGCGTAAAATTTTATGGAGGAAAACTTCAGTAGAATAGGTACACGCGGCATGGTAGTCAGCATGATACTCATACAAAGTGAAGTTTTTTGAGAAGAATTGAGTTCGTGGTTTTGATGGAGAAGTCCAATATGCGCTCCAACAAACAACTTTCAGAGGGACCAATTTTTTAGTAAATTAGCTTAGGGTGGGATTAACCATCTAAAAACAAAGCACAGGCTCTGATTCATAAGAACAGTATAAAGATCAAACTTTCAGCAAGCACTATGAAGTTCAACTCATTTCATTAAAAAGACTAGAGCACCAATCAGCTCAAAACACAGGAGTAACTGATCAAGATGCAACTGAAAGAAAAACATGCAAAAGAAAGGAAATCTAAAATGAAAGGCAGTAGCTAGTCACATCATTTTCCAATAGAGCAATTAAAAAGAACGGAAGAACCAAGGAGAGCAGGATTTCACTTCTGGATGCTCATTGTACTGTAAGTTTTACCAGATAAACTGTTAGAACCCTTGTTAGAATTCTTGTGAATATTCTAGAAGATATGTAAATATAGTAGGTAACTTAATTTACTCCTACTGTACTTAGGTATTGATTTGTATTGATTTTCTTTCCTTTTTAGAGATAAACATAGTTATTTCAACCCCATAGCTTGAGGGAATAATCAAACCGAGTTCCTCTCATTTCTCATCCGCTTCACATGATATTAGAGTCTGGTTAAGGCCAATGACATAGGAAGAGAGAGTTCTAAACTCGGAAAAAATTTAAGGTAACTTTTCTTGGCTGTCTGATGAGATTCATTTCCCTAGGTGTTGCGACCAAACGAAATCACCACGAGAAGTGGAAGAACAG